CAAGCAAAGAAAATGGCAGTGTTACACAGGTTAGTTTTAAGCCACTTCGATAGATAGTAACATAAATACACATTCGCCAGATTTTTATTTTTATTTGTATACTTCAGATTATATATATCAGTTTTAATTGCTTTTGTGGAACAAAATCGTATTGGTGTAAAAGTTACTTGAAAATACTCTTCAACTTAAGTGCAGTGGAAAAGGAAATTTGGAAATGAGGTTAAATTGAATTAATTTAAAAAAGGATAAATGATAAAAGGTAAAAAATGTTTGTTTCGAAACCTAAATAGGGTGAAGAATGTATGAATAATGTATGAATTATAAAATTAAAACAGTGTAATTAATTTAGGGAATTATATGAAATACTACGACAGTCAATATTCTATGATGCCTGAATAACCGACAGTTAAGGTTACACTACTTTATAAGCAAAGTAACGTAATGACTTAAAAATTAAAGTGTTTCCGATCAACAGTCAGTTTTGCTAAGCTATAGAAAAGAGTCTCTAATAAGACTTCTTTTCTGGAAAGAGACCGTCCTGTTGGAGAATTTGTTTTATTCAACACACTACGGCTCTTGTTAAGGCTACGTTTACGGAAGGTACTTGCGTAGTTGTAACGTAGGTCTATATTTTTCTTTTGAAATTGTGGTTGTTTCGTCCAAGTCGTTCCTCCTTGGGACAACAGTAAGATTTACAATGCTAAAATCTGGGGCTTGATTCCCTACGGTTAACATAGCAGATAGGACAAAATGGCTTTGCTAGAAAACAAACGAACAAACCATCTTCAAAGTCAGAAGTAAAGCCGTATCTAGCGTTAGGTCCACTTCGTGGATCTTTCAAATAATTTTGATATTTTAGTTATCGTTTCTTAGATTTTAAATCAGACCTTAATCACTTTTCAAAAAAAAAATCATGTTTTATCTGAACTATCCTGCATTACCAATGCACTCATAAATAAAAGTAAAGAAACATACAAAAAAAAACATCCCTCTCCCTTTTCAACCAATTTAGAGGACTAAATATCACCCATTCTACTGTAAATGGTTTGTCAAAATCTCTGGTAGTAATACAAAGATTTTGTCATAATCTATGGTTGCGATACAAGGATGAGCGCCTACTCTTTATAGCTCCTTTTTTTCACTGCCCCCCCCCCCCGTGGGACAGCGGTACTTCTTCGGATTTACAACGGGGTTCGATTTCCCTCGGTGGACACAACAGATAGCCTTATATGGCTTTGCTAGAACTAAACACACACACTTGTTTCACCGCCAGTAGTGTTCTATACGGTGGCTCTGGTCATGGGCTATTCCTCAACAGCGTAATTTCCACTGAGGGGTGCTTTGGCGCAATACACCGAGGTCAGTACGGTGAATTTCGTTTTACGTGTTTTTCAAAGTCCATCAACTGTGTAAGGACGACGAAATCCAGAGCATTACTGAAACAAATGCACATAAGTCCATGGGAATTGTGTGAGAATGGTATAGCATTAAATCCCCTTTTATACTTATATCTTCTGGAAGAAATGCCATGTTGACTTGGATATGTAGGTGGATGCTTTATCTTGATAGAGCCATACTTTATTAGCATCCAATTCGCATAAAGAATTTTTTGGGGTGATTCTGGTCAGTGGGCTAAATTCAGATTTTGAAACAGGTAGAATGTCCTTTTTGCGGAACGCCTTTACAGACCGTTTCCCTCCAATTCAACTTCTGAGTCTGGCACCAGATTGGGGAGTAGCTTGATGACGAGGAACTAGCTTCGAGACAATAAAGTTTGAAGAGGGCTTGAATGGATGATGAAGAAAACTATATTACAAGTTTAACATAGTAACAAGTGTACAAAGTTGATGATTATGACAAAACATTGTCGAAACGTTGGACATTTGCTATTATGTTAAACATGTAAGAAAATTTTCTTCACTACCTACTGCTCTTCCCAACTGGATTATTCGGGATCCTTTGTTCCCCTTCAGTCCCGAACGTGAGATTAAAATACTTCAGTAGTTGTAGTTGTGCTTGTTGAAATTAGTGAGATTTTCTATGATAATGTATGAGAGAAATCGAAACAAGCAGACGAGAAAAGCCGTGAAGAGGTGGGGGTTCTTCTTGTCCAACGGTGATTGAGTCGATGAAGTCAATGGGGTTGGCAAGGCGAGGCAGGGAGATCCATACATGCATTCGAAATATTGAGTTTTAGATCGCGTGGATTTAAGGAAACTTATAAATTTTTAAGACCAATTATTGAGATAGATTTATCAACAATTTGGATTGCAATTTCACTGAGAAAGCTTAGCGGCCCTTTTCAGGGGGGGGGGGGACGAAGGGCCGATGCCCGTTTGAATTTAGATGTGAGGGAATCGGAATGCCCGGAGAAAACCCACTTTCACAGGACAGACACCGAATAATATATCTGTCTTGTGCCATAGGTGTAAAGTAACATTTGATTATTATTAGACATAACATAGTGATCAACCCTTTGTGTGTGGGTTTTAGATTTTGTTTTCTTGTTCGCGAAATAGATTGTATGGCGAGATATGTTTGGTGGGAGCGCTTGATATTTTATGTATTGCAGCGGTCAGACTATTTCTTTCTTCCGCTTTTTCTGAATTGCAACAAAGAGGTCAGGGCTTTTATCCTGTGTAACCATAAGCCACGGATGAGGGACTAGGGGAAAGATGATTGGATGTGTAAATTGTTACCATAGATCGTGATAAACCTTCTGCATAATGTTTGCTTTGTGTAAAGTTGTGTAATGATGATGAGTTCTTTACATTAGGATTATTAAATAATTTGATATATATATGTATATTTGTCTTATAGAAATTTTATTTTTTTATCCACTTCAGTGACAGCAACTGTCAGTACATACCATTAAACAGCGGTAAGTCTGCGTATGAGTTTACGGTTTTCCTAGACCGCTGTGGTACCCAGTTTGTGGATCAGTTCAGACAAGGTGGTCAGGCATACTTAGAAAACACCATTGTAATTCAGAATGAACCTGGTTTCCAGGAAATTTGGGATACTGCACGCCACATCCGATGTCTATGGACTGGGCAATTTGAGAAGACTGTAACCTCCAATATTAACGTAGACATGTTAGACATCGTTTCTGTCACCTACAGCGGCGATTCTGTGGACACCTACATGGACATCCAACTTGGACGTGGACCATTTGCTGCCCCAGTTACAGGACTAGTGAAAATAGGCGACACTTTGACTGCTGTCATCTATGTACAGGGCACGAGCGACTTTGACATCCATGTGAAGAACTGTATAGCTCATGCCGGGGATATCACTAAGGCCATCCAACTGACCGATGCTCGAGGGTGTGTCATAAAAAAGAAGTTAATGGGACCTTGGCAGAAAACACGATCAACTGGTAATTCCGGAGCTAGTATTATAGCCTACGCTTTCTTCCAAGCTTTCAAATTTCCAGACACCATGGAATTATTCATGGAATGTGACATTGAACTCTGCAAGTTCCAGTGCTCAGATTTCTGTCCAGAATACCCGCAGTCACTAACAGGAAGAAAGAAGAGAGAGGCTCGTGGAGGGGTACAAGATATCTATAGAGACAAGGACGGCATAATAATTGTACCAGAACGTGTAGAACCGGTGAAATTGCAACGCAGTTTCCGAGTTGTAGCACCGGAAGATATTACTTTCTCGGAAGCAAGCAATGGTACCTTAACCCTGACTGCTGGTAGTCCAACCGAATCTAGAGAAAATGTTTGTATGTCAACACCAAGTTTTATCACGGCATTGGTGGTCATACTCATAGTCTTGTTGAGTTCTTGTTTGATGAGTGCTGTCCTCTGTGTTCGAATCCGTAATTCTCCCGGTACCCCTTCCTTGTCAACTCTGTATGCCTATTCACAAAGGGACATCTTAGGTGGTTCCGGGAAGTAAATATAAGCAGTATTAAATCAGACGTATTTACCATTATTTTCCCTACAAAAATACTTATTTTAGAATGCAAGTTAAAATTAAACAACTTTCAAACATTAATTAAAGAAGTGAACTACACAAACTCAGGCTGCAAATATAAGCTTCCTAGCACAACTGGTAAGTGGCACATACTTCCCGAAGGTATTTGAAACTAGTAGGTTCCAATGAATAATAAAAACTACTTAATAATCTTTAATTAATTCATCTTTCTTTCAAGTAATGTTGACTTATTAAACCACATAGGTAATTAGAGCAATGTTTTAAACGTGATATTATTATGACAGTTATGAGAGAGTGAAATAAAAGAATAAATTGCGTTTTTCTCAGAGATAAAATTACCGATCAACAAAATACGACTTTTATAACTTTTGAAGACAGGACAGATGATGGGGCTATTCTTTTATTAGGTTACTTTTTGCTACTTTTTAAGATTTCAATGCTTATAAAACGGAATCTCGTTATTATATTTTTTATGGTGCAAAACATTAGAGACACCTACCGGAAAAGATTCATAGTTACTCCTAATTGAACGATATCTAAACAGTGCCCTAAAACAGGAGAAAAACGAATGAATATGTTAATATTTCATTTTTAAGCTCACGTCTCAGGCTTAAAAAGTGCAATTTAAAAAATAAAGAATGTTGACATAGTTTTAAAATTTGTTTTATTAATTTTTTATTATTACAAAACAAAAATCATACTTAAACCAAAATAGTAATCCACGCTACACATTCCGAACAACTAATAGATTAAATAATAAATTTACAATTTTCCGATAATTATTAGCATATTGAATTTTTGAAGATAAACTGGAATGATCAATACCACTCATAAACAAAAGAATAACTGAGTAAAATCACTGATCTTATGGTTCAAATATACCGTGTTTTATTTTATTCTATTGCTTATAAATCTTAACTATTTATTTTTATTATAACTTTCTCAAATACTCTATTTATATTAACAAGTAATTACAATTTAGCACAATCTATCGAGCTTCTTTCGTGTAGTGTAACTGTCTTTTTGTCTATTGTCTATTCTTATACGATTTTAGGAGATTAAATGAATTTAAAATTAAATGATAAAGAAATTACAACGGTATATCACACAAACATAGGCTGTAAAAACAAGCAACCCAGCACAACTAGTAAGTAGCACATACTCTGAAAATTTAATTTTCCCACGGAAAAAAATTACAGGATTCCTGTGTGACGTAGTTTCACATTTGAAGAATATTCATTTCTCTGAATATTTTACTTTAAGTTTCATTCTATTCATAACTGGGACATCTACCATGGTTTTACAATAAACTTTATGAAACATATCGTCGGTTTATTACAAAACACTAATGTTAACATATAACAGAAAATATAATATAAGCGAAGTAAAATGTCAAGTCTAATTTGAACGAAACATTTCATAGCTTTGAAATAGATAACCTAAAGCCATAAATATACCACTTTAAATATTGTGTGTGTGTGTATATATATATTACTAATTATTTTGAATTAAATAACATTTTGAGTCAAGAAAGGCGAAGAATGTAACCAGTAAGTTATATACTTATGACTTATATACGTATGACTTATGTTCCGTCGTATAAGAGTTGCAGTGCAGAGCTTGCATTTCATGAATAAGTAACATTAATTTTGTAGGGTTCGCTGAACTAATCCTTGGAAATGGTATATGGTAGCACTATAGCAGTTAACCCATAATGACTAAACTATAGTTCTTGGAGCAAAACTTTGTTTCACTATACGAAAACTTAGTTTGTAAGTTTGTATACTGACAAAGATAAAAAAAAAAGTAAGAAAAAAGAAGAATGATTTGTTTGTCTGTTGTAAAGCACACAGCAACACAAAGGGCTATCTTTGTTGTGCCCACCACGGGAATCAAAGCCCGATGTCTAGCGTTATAATCCCTCAGACTTACCGTTGAGCCATCTGAGGGGAAAATGTGATTGTTGTTGTTGATTTTTAGCGCAATGCTATAAAGTGGGCTATCCCCCGCGGAGAATCGAGCCCCAGTTTTAGTATTGTAAGTCTGTAAACTTACCGTTGCCCCATCAGGTGTGTATGTGTGTATGGAGAGGATAGAACAGAATGAATTGAAAGTGTACATTTCAAATTAGACAGAGGCGAGCGACAATTAAGTTGCTGAAATAGAAATAACGTGTATAATTATACTTGGGTGACTACTGTTAGTTAGACTTATGAAGTCCGGAGTTCGATTCCACATGATGAGTAGAGTGCAGATAGTCCATTGTGTAGCTATGCACTAAAAACAACAATAGCAGGTTCATGAAAGAAGCAATACTAAATTAAACCCCCAAGTATGTGTTCTTTTATAATGTTGTTTACCTTTTAAGTTCCTAACAGTTTATGTTCAAATAAAATCAAAAAGAATTTATGACATTTTGGACACTAAAACACGAGTAATGGATCCATAACCAATAAAACTTTTTTTTTAAAACACAGAAGAGCGTTAGGGTGCTCGACTCGCAATCTGAGGGTCACACGTTCGAATCTCAGTCCCACCAAACATGCTCGTCCTCTCAGCAGTGGGGGCGTTATAATGTGTCAGTCAATCCCATTAGTTGTCGGTAAAACAGTAGCCCCAAAAGTTTGCGGTGGGTAGTAATGTCTCTCTAGTCTTTCACTCCGAAATTAAGGACGGATAACGCAGCTAGACCTCGTGTAGCTTTGCGCGAAATTAAAAACAAATCAATGGAAAATATAATGTAAGCGAGATAAAATGTCAAATCTAATTTGAACGAAACATTTCATAGCTTTAAAATAGATAACTTAAAGCCATAGATATATCTTTCTCCGCCTATTTTGGTTAATTCGTTCTCTCTCACATCTCCCGGCTTTTTTCTATTCCTTTTATTGAACTCTTATCGTTTATATTATTTTTATTGAACTCCTATATTTTATATTCCTTTCTCAAACCCACGCCAGACATGTCCCTTTATTTTTGACCTTAAATGCCTGTTTTCGGTATATCGGATCATAACATTTCATAATCACTCCAATAATCTTTTAATGCTTTATAGTGCTGTAATTTCATAACTGCACGGAGAATGACCGAAAGCCGGTCTCTTTCTCACCCCTCTCAACTCCAATCAGTGTTCCTTACACCTAACTTCATAACATGGAATCCAAAAAAAAAAAATTATCAATGACCTTGCTCTGAAAGTAAATCTAGTCAAGTACAATGACACTTGACAAATTTTTATGTATATTCAAAATTCTCCCTTTTTTTAGGTCAAACCTTGTATTAAATTTATAAAATATAGATAGAATTGTTGAAAATCTTTACACAGAAATTAAACACATCAGTTGTATAGAAGTATTATTTAAAAAATAAGAAACTTTTTCTCAGATATTTAAATAATATATTATTATTTAAATTATATTTTATAGTTCATATACAATGTATTTTTACATTGATTGTTTAACACAAACTTGGCCATACCAAAAACATTTCTTATCACATCAGGAAGTAGTTAATTAAATGGAAAATGAAAATTAGTTTTTTTTACGCAATGTTTAAAATGTTTGACTTTTTGTTTTTCTTAAAATATTCGATCCAAATAACGTAGTTAGCATCATTTTACAGGCAGGTGAAAAAACAACAACATACTGTCAGAATGTTGAGCCCTCGTCTAATTCAAATATATTATCGATAACTATTGATTTAGTGTTGTTATACACCTGGAAAAAGACATTTCTTATAATGTTTGTTTGTAACTAAGCACAAAGCTACACAATTGGCTATCTGTGCTCTGCCCACTACGGGTATCGAAACCCGGATTCTACCGTTGTAAGTTCGCAGATATCCCGCTGTGCCACTGGGAGGCGACATTTATTACACTCAAACGGACACCCTTTATCTAAAACAGAAAAAAAAACGCATGTCTAGCTGAAAAATGTAATAATAGTTTCAATAATACTGTTATACTTAAACTTTGTCCCCCCCCGTGACACAGCGGGATGTTTGTGGACTTACAAGGTTAGAAACCGGGTTTCGATACCCGTGATTGGCAGACCACAGATAGCCCATTGTGTAGTTTTGTGCTTAACTTCAAACAGACAACCTTCAAGTTACCAAGAGAAACTTGCTTTCTTATGCAATCAATAAATGTTAATGTCTTAATAATTGCTTAGAAATTTAAAATAACATTTATACTAAGATTAGACAAAAATATGCTCTAAAGCACATTCTTTATTTATGCTGCTACATATTATGCGTTTTTACTTAACTTTCTCTTCATTTAAAAAGCTGGATTTACAATATTCGATGACGAGGAACCCACTTTGAGACTAATAATGGCTGGAGACGGCTTGAATGGGTAATGAAGAAAAACTTTAAAATAACAGCAAATGTACAACGTTTCGACAAGGTTTTGTCATCATCAGGTACAAGTAATTTACACTGACCACTGGATTTACAATATGTTTGTTTGTTTCAGAATTTTTGCGCAAAACTATAAAAAGGACTGTATGTGCTTAGCAGTCCATACTTTTACATTGATAGACTAGAGGGAACGCAGTTGGTAAAAGAATAGTCCAAGAGTTGGAAGTGGGGATATTGATTAGTTGCCTTCCCTCTAGTCCAGGGATTCCCAATTATTTTGTTCCTCTGCACCCTTTGCCCTTGGGCATTCTGACAGGTTCCCATGTACCCCTAAAAATTAAGGATCAAAAATTGATAAAATTATACTGATTTTATATTATTTTATTTTGACATTTGTACGTGTGGACTGCATAAGGATCTTATCGTATTGATAACATCGATAAATGGAACTCAGCGTATATTTATGTGAGCCACTTTGCTCTCTTTGTCTGACTGCTATGGGGGGTTACATATTC